CATCATCATCAACATCATCCCCTGTATCACCATCATCATCTGTATCATCATCATTCCTGTCTCCATAATTATTAATACCATCCCTATTATACCAATATTAGCAGCAGCAGCAGCAGCAGCTTCAGTACCAACATGATTTCAGTGATTTTCTAAGAGCAATCACGAAATGGCTAATATCAGTGACAAAGTGTCAAAAACAAATATCATTATAATATATCATTTCAATCACTTTCAATATCTGCAATCATTTCAGAATCAGAAAAATATCTCATGAAATTTTGTTTGATCGCAAGATCTTCTGATTACCAGGTCAAATATTTCTTGAGGATCTGATCTCTCATACCATAATCCCATCTGATAAATTGCCTGTAGCATCCCAGGACAGTGATGATCAATCTGATGTGATTATATGGTCCATGTCATGTGGACACAAGCAGCCATACACAGGACCATTAGGAATCAGACCAGCATCGTCCTGCCATCATCAGGAGCTGTAACAAGGCTGGCAGGGGAAACATTGTGTGCCCTGACCATAGCTCATTCTGGTACTGTGGAGCTAGAACTCTGTACAAGGTGGCCTTCTCTTCATATCCTTTTGTTCCACAAAGCGACCTTAAAGTTTATCGTAAGTCTACGTTAAAGTAGACCGTGAAGATCCAGGTTAGAATTGATCTATGGAACCTATGCTTGTAAGAGGCAACTGATGGGATCGGGTGGTCAGGCTCACTGACTTGGTTTGACACATGTCAGTGTATCCCAATCCCAATCATCATAGATCGATGCTCATACTGTTGATCGCTGGATTGTCTGGTCCAGTCTCTATTATTTACAGACTGCTACCATATAATTAGAACATTGCTAGTGCCATGTAAAACTAAACTCACTCACTCACCCACTAACTTAAAGTATGGGAGTTATGATCACCTTAGCGCTAAGATCGCTTTGTACAACGGCATATATGGTAGTGCCCCACAACATGATCGTAAGTAATGTTGTAAGTCAATGTTAAGGTAAGGGAGTTACGATCACCTTAGCGCTAAGATAGCTTTGTACAACGGCATATATGGTAGTGCTCCACAACATGATCGTAAGTAATGTTGTAAGTCAATGTTAAAGGTCACATGCAACCCCAAAAACAAACATAATTAAAACACAATTATCACTTATTCACGACATATAATATCCATTGCTGATTATGAAAAAGACAAATAAACAAAATTATAAGCGTACAATCGCAAATCAAAAGTGCAATATTTTGTACTTGGGTTTACTTCACTCGAAACGAAGCACCCGGGAGACCGAACCCAGTCAGTGGGTGTGCACTCAAGTGTAATGAAGTCTTTCATTGGCTGGTTCATTTGCCGATGCCCTCACGGCTCATTGTGTGTGTTCATTGCGTTATTTTTCAACTTAATAAGTTGAATTTGCACTTTTGATAATTTGTTACTTTAAGTCTATACCGAAAGGTATCAGAATCTGCAAAGTTGTGTTTTGTGTTGCATGTGACCTTTAAGGTATGGGAGTTACGATAGCCCCAGACCTAAGATCATTTTGTACAATGGTACCCTGGCGTTTGTTCCACCATGCGATCTTAAGTCTATCATTAGTCTGTATCACACCATGTTACAAAATCAAAACTCTTTTCAATCAAGGCCATGGTGATACAACAGTCATAAATGTGTGTTAAAGTATGGGAAATCTCCTTTGTGGAATTGGGCCAAGGGATATGTTCCATGAAGACTCATAAAGAGAAGTATTACAACATCGACTTACATCAGATGTAGTCATAAGTAAGTGGTTGAGTTAGACTTACCATCCCTTTGAACAGTACTACAGTTGTATAACAGGGTGTCAGCTTGCCGTGGCAGGAAAACTCAAAGTGATTTAGTTCCCAGACGTTACCTTGAAACTATAAGCAGGGATCTGCCACAGACAAACCATAGTTTCCCCAAGGATCCAAAAAGGGCAAGGCAAGAGAATTTCAAAAGGGGCACCATTAACCAAGTATAATGTTAAGTTATTCATGCATGTGATTCTTCAATGTTCAAGGAGCACAGTTATTTCACTTAACTTGAACATAAAATAAAAACTAAAAACCAACAAGTGTTAATATCAATTATGAATATCATGGCTGGTACAGAGGACTGTCACTCAGTATCTGACCATAACTGCATCAGGAAGGATTACATCGTTTCAGTGCAGAAATTAATACACCCAAGTAAAATTTGGCATATTAACCATTCTATGAATCAGAAGAATCATTCATTGCACAGCTTTTAGATGTAATCATTGTCTAAAAGATACAAAATATTAACAGTTGTCTGCATAAGGAATAGTTCCTTGCAAATTAAAACTGGTCAGAAATAAGTCTGGACTTATTCTGGACTGGATTCCTAACAGTGGCTGACCAGCATGTAGGCTGGGAACGTCTTGGACTGGTCATCTGAGAGATCAATGGTCAGCCGCATTCAGTGGGCATATATCAGTCTAAGGATGGATCACTGTGACTCCAGGGTCTGGCCTGATGGTGATACCAGATGTACGGAGCCATGCCACCAGAGAACTATACACCCTATGTAGCCTTTATACTTCCCCCGGGAGATATACACTATGTCTACACTGTCTTTATATCCCTATAGGGGGCTATACACCTTTTAGATCCTGTCTATATATCCCCACTGGGAGATTACATTCTTTGGGTACTTTCACCACAGGAAACTGTTCCAAGGAGATTCATGCTGTTGTACTATCATGGAATTACGTTACATTCTACATTTACAAACTTTCTACCCACTGACTACAAATGAAGAGAAACAAAATATGTGAAAAGAAAAGATTTGATTTGTTTTCCTGCCAGAAAATATTCAGATGTGTCCCACAAAATGTTTTTTTCTTTCAATACATAAAACTACATGACTGGCCATTCTGGATTTAAATATAGTGCACACATGACAATTACCAACTAGAAGTGTCATTAAACAGCCCATAAACCATGAAATTAAAAAAGTCTTGCAATAAATCATGTTCTCAACTGACATTTAGTCTCAATAAGAAGGTAATCTTGTTTAAATATATATCGCTATAAAAAGAAAAAAAATATATAAACAAAATGGATGCCAGAACAATTCAGAGCTGAAGCAGTCTACATTTACATCTAGACTTGACTTGGACTCCCTCTTTAATTTATTCTCTTGTGACTGGGGGACAGACTAATGCTATTTTTAATATTTCCTGGATATATCTAGTGTTATATCATGTCTGTACAACAGTCAGTTCAATGCTTTACAACAGTCAGATCAACACAGTATACCAGTCAGATCAACACTGTATAACAGACAGATCATCAATGTGAACAATGTATAACAGTTCAAACTGCCATGACTAGTATAACAGTAACATTAACACATTGGCAGATATATGGTGTTAAACAGCATTACCTCCAACAATTGCTGAACAGATGGAATATCAAACATATATCACGGAGCAGAGTGGAGAAATGATTATTTGCCACACAGACAGTTGCACTGCTCAATATGGCCATAGATTTGTGTGCCATTTATTTTCTGACACTCAGCTTGAATATGATTTAATGTTCCTGTCAAGAAGCAAAGACTTTAAGCTCATAAAGCACAGCTGACTGAAGCTGGGTGAACTTGGTAAAGCAGCAGTAGAGGCAGGAGGGACCATGATAAGATAAGAGGGGTCAAGTATAGCCTACTACGATGTTGCTCAACTCCCAGGGTGGTGTAATTGCTGTAACTGTGGCAGCTTAGATAGATTACTTTCACAGTATCCTTGGGTAGTTTAAAGAGCAACTCTCTGTTACTTAGGGTGAGGATGTCTTGAATCAATCCTGTAAAACATGTCCACGGGCAGTAACTGTTATGATGATAACAGTAGAAATATGGAGTCAGTCAGAGATGAGCATGGGTTATAACTGGTTTGCTCCATCACTTCAATTAAAGATTACAGTTGGCTATGAAAAGGTTCATCCCAGAAAGTAATCATTTCATGCCATGGGTTGGGTGAGGTTTATGATTAACATCCTGCTATTGCACTCACACCGCAGCATCCATCAGGGCTGCATGTAGTAGTCCAAACTAATATTGGTTGTATATTATGTGCCCACTGAGATACCATGCCAAATTTTAACATGGATACTCAAATGAAAAACAATAAACTGACTTGAAAACATGCAACTCTCGCTTCATGTGGTCGAAACAAAATACAATCATCAACTTTGTTCTGTACAGCAAATTCATGAAGATCCGGGTTAGAATTGATCTTCAGTAAACTATGCTTGTTGTAATAGGCGACCAACGAGATCGGGTGGTCATGCTCGCTGAATTGGTTGACACATGTCATCATATTCCAATTGCGTGGGTCTATGCTCATGCTGTTGATCACTGGATTGTCTGGTCCAGATAGATTATTTACAGACTGCCGCCATATGGCACATGGCTGGTATATTGCGGAGTGCAGCGTAAAACTAAACTCACTCACTCTGTCCAGCAAAATGTGGTCTGGCTAATTCCCAAGTTAAATTCTGATTGGGTGGTTAGCCTCGGTGACTTGGATGCTGGGAGTCAACACACCCTGGTGATGCTGATATTAATCACCCACACCCAGGTGACAACCTACAGATGTATGTACATACATATTAGTCTAAAAGAGACAGTGTAATGAGAATTGCTGACATCTCACTGATACTAACTTCCAATAATTACCACTGTATAACATTTGAATTAATATTGGTTTCAGCTTACATATACATTACTGTAAACATACCAAGGCCATAACATAACTGAGTATACCTCTGCAATGATATATCTGCAAATATACCCCTGCCAGGATATAACTGCAGGTATACCACAGCCATACTATAACTGTCAGTATACCACAGCCACTAAATAACTGTGACTATACCACAGCTACGATATAACTGTCAGTATACCACATCCTAGACTTGCTCAAAGGCTAGACTGTATGCTGAGCCCAAGTAGACAAGACAAGACAATCGTTTATTGTATATTAGGCCACCGGCCCTTATACAAGCGAGTTACATACATTAAGACATGGTTAATTGTAAGTGTTCGTTACGACAAATAAATGCATATTTAACATAGAAAGCTAGAGGAACAAGTCATAGACACAACTTTTTAAACTCATCGTATGTGAAAAAATTATTCCCAGATATCTATATTGATTAACAATAGCAACAGATTTTCCGTGAAGAAACCATTTCTCCTTAGATGCAACAGCACCACCCCTTCTGAATATGACTATAGTAGTTTTGTCTAAATTTACGGACTGTTTCCAGTTTTCATAATAACTTTTAAGAATATTTAGCTGATTTTGCAAACCAATAATAGTTTCAGATATCAAAATGACATCGTATGTAAATAGAAGCATAAACAGTTCTATCATATCTGGGAACATCTGTACACCATGTTTACCCTTTTGCATAACATCATAATATAATTCGTTTATGAAAAATGAGAACAAAATCGGACTTACAATGCATCCTTGCCGTAGTCCCATTGGGCAGACAAAATAATCTGTTACACCAGAACTACATCGCACACAAGATTTTACATTTGAATACATTGCTTTTAACATAGTATACATTTCCCCGCCTAAACCGGCATTATGTAAGCAATACCATAATTTGTGTCTATCTACAGAATCGAATGCTTTCTTAAAATCGACAAAAGCTACATACAGTTTGTGTTTTCGACGGGATAAACATTTCTGAATCAGTGTATACAAAGTAAAAAAATGATCAGTTGTGGAGTATTGCTTACGAAAACCAGCTCGATTCTCAGGAATCTTATCTCTCACGTTTGCCCATTTAGAGAGTCGAGTATTTAGTATAGAAGTGAAGACTTTGCCGAGAATTTTTATTTCCCTATAATTATCAGGATTATTAAAGTCACCTTTCTTGTGAATTGGGACAATAATAGAAATTGACCAATTGCGAGGAATTACTCCTTTTGTGAACAAACTATTAAAGCATTTATTGAGAAATGGAAGAATTTCTGCAATAGAACATTTAAGCATTTCAATAATGATACTATCAGGACAAGCTGCTTTTCCACATTTCAATTGTGAAATTGCATGTGTGATTTCATCATCCGATATAGGCGAGTCTAGTACAAGTTCATCTACTTCAGGGGCGGTGGGGTAGCCTAGTAGTTAAAGCGTTGGCTCATCACGCCGAAAACCCGGGTTCGAATCCCCACATGGGTACAATGTATGAAGCCCATTTCTGGTGTCCCCCGCCGTGATGTTGCTGGAATATTGCTAAAAGCGGCGTAAAACCAAAACTCAGTCAGTCATCTACTTCATCATAGTCCCCATTAAAATCATCCGAAATTTCTAAAATGTCTTGGTCGTGGTCAGACTGATCGAGCACTGAATTATTTGCGAAAACATTCCTGAAATGAATGAGCCACTCAGTTTTGGAAATTGAATTTTGTTGGGAGCATTTAGTTTTGATATGTCGAATTTCTTTCCAGAATTTAGACTGACAATACATAGAATTACTTAGCCTGTTTAGTTTATTACATTTGAGTTCATGTTTAAAGTTTCTGTAACATGACTTGTACCTATTTCGCTCTTTACAGTATGTCCATCTGTTACTATCATTGCGTTGACACCGAAACTTTCTCTTGGCCAATTTACATTCTCTGCTAAATGGTCTAGATTTAGAACCGTCTTTGCACGCCTTTTTCATACATTCGGCTGATTTCAATATCTTATTAACGAGATCATTGATAGCACCATCAATATCAACCTCAAGTTTAATCAGCAGGTTTTCACCAGACTGGCCCAATTCCTGACGTAGAGTATTAAGAAATATAGTACAGAATGAGTCATTCCAAAATATCTTCTCAGTAATGGTTGGGTTGTTATTAGACACATTTGATGTATGGGTCATTTTGGGGAAGCTACAGAATAACTCGTATGTATAGCAATTCTATCCTTTCAAGAGGCAAGTCTAGATAAACGGACGAAGGACCCATGTCTGCTGTTTAATATTTTTTTAGAAATTATTATTTAAACTATTAATTTTTAGAGACTTGTGAAAGTCCAGTCACACCCATGAAATAACTGTCACTGTACCACAGCTACGATATACCACAGCCAGGATGTAACTGTCAGTATACCACAGACAGGATTTAACTTTCACTAAACCAAGCAAAACAGCTACATTATAATCCCTTCTAGTTCACATTTCGTTTTCAAAATTTGAAAAAAGAATTAATTAGGAATTAACCTCAGGTGATAGCAGGAATCCACATTGTCTTGGTTTTGGCAGGGTTGCAATCAGACTCTTTCCTTATTCTGACTCCCCACAGGGTTGTTCATGAGAGATTACATTCAGGTGACAAAAGCTTTCTTATGAAGGTCCTTAAAATGCCCTGAAAGATGGCCTTATGGCCATTGCATTGTTCTCCAAACTATTTAATTCCACTATTCAAAGAATTAGTCATTTAATAAACAAACACAACTGACACAAACTCTAACTAGCAAACAAATACAACATCTGCTGCAGACTTACACAAGTAAACTGATATAACATAATGTACAGAAATATGTTCCCACAAATTCAGACAAGTTCCATGTTACACTTCCATGTGTATGACTCCCCAAAGATCTCTGGCTAGTACCAGAGACCATATATGATCGGTATACGATCTCTGCTAGCCCCATTCCTACAGTAGAAGTCACAGCAACAGATACAATGTTTAATACTTCATTTTCATGACTGAAATAAAAAGTTTAAGGGGGCTGACAAATCTGCAGTGTGTTGTAAACTGCATGATGTCACGTCACTGTAACTCCCATATCCTGCAAACGTTGTTGTTGGAGGCACGGACAAACATTATTGCTCCTGCACCTCTTTCAAAGTCGAGGCTGTTTCGATTGACAATAAAATCTCAAAATAAAATCTGATGAAGTTTCAACCCCTTTCTTACAGAATTTCCATTAAATCTAAATCGATATATCAATTAGACTAGGTTTTAAATTTCATTCAAACATTCAATAAACTGCCCAAATCCTTCCAGTTTATCTGACTGTCCAAATGAAAACGGTCACAAACTATTTCCTTAGACGAAAAATCTCCTAGCTTTTCGTTAATGGTTCATTTGAAAGTCAATAGTAATAAACGGCTGTAATGTTGGCATGACTGATGCGAGGTCATGTTATCAGATCAAGGTCACATGACCAGTCACATGATCAGTGGCTAGTATTGTTGTCTCCTCAAGTGGAGTTGCTCTATCTGACAGGTCCTTCTATTTACAGATCACTCGGGCAGGGCTCTCTTGCTATTGATTATCAATCTGTGGTAGTACAGCTGAGGGCCCACGTTCAGCACCTGCACCACAATAAAGGATCGCATCCTTTCAGGGTCAAAGACCACTTCCTTCAACTCTAATACTGGCTATAATGTAATCTATTCCATATCAATACTTCACTGCTAAACTGACATTTAGTACCAGAAATAAATTTATCTTATTAGAAATATATATCTTTGATAGTAAATAGGGAAAATCCCAAATGAGCCAAGAACTAGTAATAATTACAGGACCTGTGGCAATCTAGACTTGCTCAATTATTCTAGATTGAGTTTGGCTCCTTGTTAGGTTATTCTCTAGGATACAATGTGATACATTGGCACTGATATAGAATTCAGAACTACATTACCGAATGCCGAACTTCAGTTGACACCAAAATTGAACATTTATCTGCAAAGACTGAGGTGAAAGTGTACTGGAAATCAGCTTGTCATACAGGATTTACAGAGTTTTTCAATACCAATGGACCAGGTGAATACTGAAAACATAACCAAATATTCCTTGATGCTGGATCATTGGCGCTTGTTAAGTTTTTAGTTGACATATTTTACCAACCAAAGACAAAATACTATTATTCTACTTGGTTGACACATGTCATCGGTTCCCAATTGTGCAGATCGATGCTCATGCTGTTGATCACTGGATTGTCTGGTCCAGACTGAAACCTTTCAATTTCAAAACTGGCTTATAAACTAGTGCCTCCATCCTGAAAAAGTTTGATAATTTTTTATGGCATTGAAGTATTTTATGTATACCACTCAAAAGAGGTTAACACCTGATTCTTTTATATTTCTGTAGTTAATCAGTCATGGAACCTCAGATTTAACAGTTTAAAATAAAAGGATACAGCATTTTTCAACTTCTTTCAGAGCAGTATACAATTATAAAAGTGAGTGAATTTAGTTTTATGCCGCTTTAGCAATATTCCAGCAATATTCCAGCAATATCATGGCAAGGGACACTAAAATGGGCTTCACACATTGTACCTATGTGGACAATTATAATAGACAAAAATACATAATTATCTTGTGTATAGTATAAAGAAGCTTATACTCTTGAAGGACATTTGTACAAATGAAAAATATTCAAGCAACCATGTATGCAACAAATAATCATTACAATAAATCCATATATGATAATTTGTTTTAAAAGAATTATTTGTATCAAGGCCCAATCATCATTATCAACTTCCCCATCTTATTAATTATTTCATTTGGCATCACCTTTATTGATATTTTAAAGCTTAATTTCCAAATAAAATCCCCAAATCTCGTTAATCACCAGAGCCCATTAGGAACAGAAAAATTCCTACGCCCTTTATTACATGTTGAGTGAAAAGATCAATGTTCAATTCGAAGACATTCGTATTTGTGCATTTGTCATCAAAAGATTTTCAGTAAAGTTACTTCACCTCATTGCCAGTTTCATAATGAAATAAAAATCAATTTTGCCAACAAAACCTTCTGGTGATAATTAAGGCATTCCTCGGGGACAACAGCACAGCCGATTGGGTAATGATAGAGAGTTGATTATGTCACAGCCTGTTTCACACCAGCTGCCCCAAGATCAATCAATAGATGGTGGTGGGGGAGGGGGGGAGAGTGAGAGGGGCAAGGTGGGAGACTGACCTGTACCCTAGGAATAAAGTTATCTTATTTAAAAAGATGTATCTTCAAACTAAAACAATTATCCAAATGAAGCCCAGATATATGCTTAATGTCAGAGCTGAGGC